AGTGTATATAGTGTGTGTGTGTGTGTGTGTGTGTGTGTGTGTGTGTGTGTGTGTGTGTGTGTGTGTGTGTGTGTGTGTGTGTGTGTGTGTGTGTGTGTGGGTGTGTGTGTGTCATATAATATTATTTATCTACACATTATTCATGTTAATAGTAAGATTGAGTTAATATGTTTATTTGAAATGACTGAACAAATTATGATTTTATTGTATCCTTTCCCTATATCTTATAATACATTACATATGTCATACTATTAATATATTTATGTAAAATATGATTATAATAATTCAAAATTATTCGAATAATAAATTTATCCTTGTTTAATTTATTTAATTCTAGTTTCTACTAAATTCTAGTTCCTTTAATTGGTATCGAATATCTTTTTTATGATATAAATTCTTTTTTCAGTGAAATTCGCCTTTTTTACAATAGTGAAAAGTTGACGGTAGTTTACAATAACTTCTATTATATTTAAAGAGCAAGATGTCATCAATTAAGGTAAAGGATTGAATAAATTCCTGAGGAATATAGACATTCATATACTCCCAATTTTGTAATTCCTTAAAACGTTTAAATAATATAGCTTTTTCTAAAGACTGATCTTTTCGACGATATTCAATGATTGGCTCTTCGGCATTGGCATTGTATATATTAGTAACTGATGATGTATTAATATTAGCATTTATCTCGAATATATCAAATTCATTAGATTTGTCAGATGAGTCAGTTGAATCAGATGAGTCAGATGAGTCAATTGAATCAGATGAGTCAGATGAGTCACTCTGATTACTAAAATATTCTTTTGGTAAAACTTTAATATTTATTAATTTGTTCTTACGCATGGACAATACATGTACTGAGACTGTAGTTTTGTTCTTATATATTGCATCCTACAAAATCACAAATATAAAAATATATAAACAATGTGTTTTGAAGTTAAAATAAAATAGTAGTTAATTTCTATTAAAAAAAGTTCATACTCAAATGTAAAAATATATATTAATAATGTATCAAAAATTAAAAGTTGTATTAATATTGTTGATATTGTAATATTTCTAACAACATACTGTTTCTTTAATTGAACATTATCGTAGTTTTGATATATAGTCGTTTTGATATATAGTTAATAATATATCTAGTTGACAATACATCAATGTTAATAAAAAAGTTTGTTGAATTTAAAAACTTTTTATAAACTGTTATTAATAATTAGATAGTTATTATTG